CCTGCGAGGGGAAGGTTGCAGTGGGCCGAGATTGCACCATTGCACTCCAGCCTGGACAACAAGAGCAAAACTCCATCTTAAAAAAAAAAAAAAAAAGTTTCTTCAAGTACCACTAAACCTCATGAAAGTGACCACAAGGACCCTCCAGTTGACCACATAGTGAGTAACAAGCACTCACCATCACCACACAGCAACATTTCCAGTCACTCAGTGAACATGGGCCATACAGCCTCTCTGAGGTTTCAATCTCACTTCGACCTCTCTGTAAAGGTGTTGGCATCAGCATATAGGATGGTACTAAGAGGTACTAAGCCTTCTAAGAGTACCTTCTAAGAGGCTTAGTACCACAAAGATGTGAACAAGTTCTCTCGTCAGCTGTAGGAGCACCTGCTCTTCATCTGCCTACCATCCCTACAATGGAGAAAGCTCCCATCTTTGCAGAGCCTTTGGTAACAGGGATGTCCAGATCGTCAGCCTGTCATGCCCATTTTCCGTTTTAGAAATTCCTGCATGGCACAGTGGCTCACGCCTATAATCCTAGCATTTTGGGAGGCTGAGGCAGGAAGACTGAGTTCAGGAATTCAAGGCCAGCCTGGACAACATAGTGAGACTTCGTTTCTACAAAATATACTAAAATTAGCTGGGCGTGGTGCTGTGTGCTTGTAGTCCCAGCCACTCGGGAGGACTGCTTGAGCTGAGCAGGTCGAGGTTGCACTGACAAGTGCTCATGCCACTGCACTCCAGCCTGGGCGACAGAGCAAGACCCTGTCTCAAAACAAGACAAAACAAAAAAGAAAAAAAAGTTCTTGGTAACTGAGCATTGTTTGTCCAGCCCACTGAATTTCCGTAGACAAATTGTAGGAACTGGCACAGGAAACTGGACACAAAGATGTCAGGGGCGTGGACAGCAGCTGCTTGAGCTGCCTGCTGCCCGAGACTCCCATTGTCACCGCGCAGCGTTGGCTTTTGCGGCTTCCTGACAGTCCTGGCTGTCGCTTCACTTGATCTTGGGTTTCACCAAGCCACGAAGGACTAGCGTCCCTCTTTCCTATCCCAAGGGCATTAAGCTTGTCTGGATGGAGTAGGAGAGGAAAGAATTTACACGCCGTTCCCAACTTTACGTAACGTGACTGGGGGGGAATTGACGGTCACGCTGTCTGCCTAGCCCAAACGGTGCCACAGCAGCTCAAGGAAGTAGCAGGTCTCGTGGGCGCGGTCTCTTCGCTCCGGCCCACCCACACCAGCAGTGGCACGTACTCTCCCGCAAGAGAATTTTCCGACGACACTTCCGGCCCCGCCCCCCGAGGCGGAAGTGGAGTCCCAGGCTACTCCTCCCGCGGTGTGGTGTTTCCCGGTTTGACTGCCCTGCGGTGGCGCGGCTCGCAGTCCTTCCCAGCATGGACCGTACTTGTGAGGAGAGGCCCGCTGAGGAAGAGAGTGACGAGGAGGACCCTAACTCCATGGAAGCCCCGGCCCAGATCCGAGACACTCCGGAAGACATCGTGCTAGAAGCTCCTGCCAGTGGGCTGGCGTTCCATCCGGCCCGCGACCTCCTGGCCGCAGGGGACGTGGACGGGGACGTGTTCGTGTGAGTCGGGGCAGGGCCAGGGGCGCCGGGTCTGGAAGCTCCCCGGGGATGGAGCTGGGAACAGGAGGGATGAGAGAAAGTTGCAGGGAGACAAATTTTATAAGATTCAGTGGGCCCAATTCATTCAGTAACATTCGGCTTTTATACCACACCAATCTGTTGAAAGAACTGGAATGTCTTGACGGAGCCCAGAGACCATAATAAGACAGAAAGCGCTTTAAGGACTTATTTCCCACCGGCTTATTATTACTTTATTAATTTTTTTTTTCAGACCGAGTCTCGCTCTGTCGCCCAGGCTGGAGTGCCGTGGCACGATCTCGGCTCACTGCAGCCTCCACCTCCCGAGTTCAAGCAGTTCTCTGCCTCAGCCTCCGGAGTAGTTGGGATTACAGGCGCCCGCCACCACGCCTGGCTAATTTTTTTGTATTTTTAGTAGAGACGGGGTTTCACCATCTTGGCCGGGCTGGTCTTGAGCTCCTGACCTCGTGATCCACCCACCTCGGCGTCCCACTGGATTATTATATTGAGCTCAAGACAGGCTCAGCAGGCCCCTTTAGTGGATCTTTCAAACCACAAATCTTGGCTCACGCCTGTAATCGCAGCACTTTGGGAGGCCGAGGCGGGCAGATTATCTGAGGTCAGGAGTTGGAGACCAGCCTGACCAACATGGTGAAACCGTCTCTACTAAAAATACAAAAATTAGCCGGATGTGGTGGCTCACACCTGTAATCCCAGATACACAGGAGCCTTAGGCAGGAGAATCTCTTCAACTTGGGGGGTGGAGGTTGCAGTGAGCCAAGATCGCAGCCCTGCCTTCCAGTTTGGATGACAGAGTGAGACTCAGAAAGAACAAAACAACACAAATCCCAGCAGACACTCCCTTGATTAAAACCCTTCAATGGTCTGCTCTTAGGATTTAGTACAAACTTCTCAATTTGGCTTTCAACACCCTGACCATCTGTGCTCATTCATCCAAACCTTTTAAAAATACATCTTGAAACCTCAGCTCCTTTGCATGTGCTATTCTGCCTGGAAAACTCCTTTCCCCTCACTCTTAACCTACTGTCTCTGAGTTCTCAGGATCTCTTCTCTCTTCCTCTATGCCCAGACTAAAACTGGTTACCTGTTAGATGCTGCCATGGCACCAGGTGCCATGGTACCTTTCTCTTAGTAATGAATGGTTGGTAACCATACATCCATTTATGTAATTATTTGAATGCTGTCTCCTTCACTAACGTTTTTCAAGTGTCTTTGACCTTGCCCCACAAATACCTTTTACATTATATATGATGCTCTCTGATACAATTTCTGATTTTATTCTATTGTGTGCATGTACACAAAATGCTGATTGTAGCTTACTAGTCAGTTATATGACTAGAATGTGAAAAACACTGTTCTGGATGTAATCTGTCTTCGGTTTTGTTCTCTGTTTTATCTGTTACCTCTAGTCTAGGGTAGGTGTTCAATACATGTTAGACTTTGAACAGAAGATACAAGTTAGAAGCAGTGGAAAAATGAAGATTTTGTGCTTATCAGATTTACTTAATGAATTTAAACCTCAACCTCTCATTAGCTGTCCTTGAACATGTTAACTTCTCTACTTTCATCTTTGAAAGGGGGAATTATACCTGCTTTGCGGAGGGGACAAGTTGTCAGTACAGCGCCTAAGCAGCTGTTCAACAAATGTAGGTTCCCTTCTACTACTATCCATATTTAAGGTGCCAGGCACTTGGGAGTTGCACTAGCCATCCACTGTTCTTCACATTCCACACAACTTTGTTGCTTACCTTGTCTTAAAAAAGGTTCTGGAGGAAACTCCTTGGTTCTCCCCTTCCCCACCCTCAGCCATGACTATTGTTAAGAGGTTTCTTTTCCCAGAGGATTAAATTCAGACTTCCTCTTGGCTCATATGGTCTCATGCCCACCCAGCCCATCTTTCCAGATTCAGTCATGCTACTCTTCTGCTACAAGGAAACCTCCTCATTCCTTATCTCTGCTGCCTCCAGTATCTGCTCCTTGCTCTCAGCCAGGTAAACTGTTATTCCTGTATGATCCAATCCACATGTCACCACTTTAGCTTTCCAGGGCTCTGTTCTCCCTTCTCAAGTACTCAATCTGTTAATGTGTATTAAGCTACTTTTTCATGTTAGGCACTGGCACAGAGAAAATGAGCAGGCTCAGTTCTGGCTACCTGGAACTCACTGGCAATTTAGCATGTATTCATTCTGCCCTTTTTAAGGGATCTGCTCTGAGGCAGACACTGGGGGTATTCTGCAAACAGTATTTCCCTCAAAGTTGCTTATAGGCTGGTGCCTCCTCCCACTCCATTTTGATCCAGCCTGTTTTTCAGCATGTACTTTCAATGTACTGTAATTAATTGTGTCTTTCTCTAGCTCCTGCAGACTTGAAGTGCAAAAGCCTGCTCTACCTTAGTAATTTTTACATTTCCAACTTCTGGGGCTGGTCTTGTCATTGATGTAACAAATATTTCCTCCACAGTGATCCAGATGCAATCTTTCTCCAGGCTGGGGCATTCAAAGATGATAAAGAGGGGTTGGGTGAGATCACAAAGACATCTTGAGCAAATATATCTTGAATTACTGTATATTGAAAAAAACAAGACCTAACATTTGAAACTCACTGAAAGTGGAGAAATGAGATGGTAAACTTTTTGGGCTTGGAGGTATAGAAGCAGGAACTCCTAGGTAGGTGGGAAGGCTGCTCTGTCTAGTTGGTCTCTGCACTCAGTGCAACCCAGGCTGGATCTGGAGTCATTTACCCTCCTTCCCCTCTTTCCAGCTTTTCCTACTCTTGCCAAGAGGGAGAAACCAAGGAGCTCTGGTCATCAGGTCACCATCTGAAGGCCTGCCGAGCTGTGGCCTTCTCTCAAGATGGGCAGAGTGAGTACTGGGGAAGGCAACCAACAATGTGGTGGAAGGGAGCAGTGAGCAGCACCATGACCTGGGCACCTTTTCCCCAGAGCTCGTTACTGTCTCCAAGGACAAAGCCATCCATGTTCTAGATGTGGAGCAGGGCCGACTAGAAAGGCGTGTTTCCAAGGCTCATATGTAAGTAGAGCAGCCAGTTCTGTGTATGTGCATGGAGGTGAAGGGGAAGGACCAGGAGGTCCCTACTGGGACAAAGATGCTCCAAGAAGTTCTGCATCTGTGTCTCTAGCGCCCCCATCAACAGTCTTCTGCTGGTGGATGAGAATGTTCTGGCCACTGGGGATGACATGGGTGGTATCCGTCTCTGGGACCAGCGGAAGGAGGGCCCCTTCATGGATATGAGGCAACATGAAGAGTACATCGCAGACATGGCTCTGGATCCAGCCAAGAAGCTGCTGCTGACAGCCAGGTACTACCTCAAAGCTGCCTCGCCTCCCCTTCCTGTGTGAAATGTCTTCCTCAAATGGACCTTGTGTCTAAGCCTATTGCTCTACTCTCTACAGTGGAGATGGCTGCCTTGGTGTCTTCAACATTAAGAGGCGTCGGTTCGAGCTGCTCTCAGAGCCTCAGTCTGGGGACCTGACCTCTGTCACTCTCATGAAAGTACAGCTGGGTATGGTGGGATGAAGGGGTGTGTGCTGGGGCTTAGTCTAAGGCAGCTTCTACATCATTTTCCCTATTCCCCTGCAGTGTGGGAAGAAGGTGGCATGTGGCTCCAGTGAAGGTACCATCTACCTCTTCAACTGGAATGGCTTTGGGGCCACAAGTGACCGCTTTGCCCTGAGAGCTGAATCCATTGACTGCATGGTTCCAGTCACCGAGAGTCTGCTGTGTACTGGCTCCACCGATGGAGTCATCAGGTTAGGGAGGCCTGGACAGCCCTTAGGTCTCAGGAAGGGCAGGCCCAGCTAGCCAGTACTTAACACTGTTCTTTCCTGCCCAGGGCTGTGAACATCCTACCGAACCGAGTGGTAGGCAGTGTGGGCCAGCATGCTGGGGAGCCTGTGGAGGAGCTGGCCCTTTCCCACTGTGGCTGCTTCCTGGCCAGTAGTGGCCATGACCAGCGCCTCAAGTTTTGGGACATGGCCCAGCTGAGAGCTGTGGTGGTGGATGACTACCGTCGGCGCAAGAAAAAGGGAGGACCACTGCGGGCCCTGAGCAGCAAGGCTTGGAGCACAGATGACTTTTTCGCAGGACTGAGGGAAGAGGCAGAAGACTTAATGGCTCAGGAAGAGGAGGAGGAGACTGGGGATGACAGTGACTGAGGGAATGAACCGATTCCTCACCAGGCAAGAGTCTTGCTTATTGGGCTGCATCCCCAGAGGATATAAATTATTTTTTAAAAAGATAGGGTTTTGCTGTCATCCAGACTGGAGTGCCCTGGCTCTATCATGGCTTACTACAGCCTCAACATCACCAGGCTCAGATTGTCCTTCCACCTCATCCTCTGGAGTAGCTGGGACTACAGGTGTGTACCACCACACCAGGCTAATTTTTGTATTTGTTTTGTTAGAAACAGGAGTCTGTGTTGCCCAGGCTGGTCTTCAACTCCTGGACTCAAATGATCCACCTGCCTCTGCTTCCCAAAGTGCTGGATAAGGCATAAATGCCACCACACTTGACCAAAAAAAAAAAAAAATTTTTTTTTGAGACAATGTTTTGCTCTTGTTGCCTGGGCTGGAGTGCAATGGCGTGATATCTGCTCACTGCAACCTCCGCCTCCTAGGTTCAAGCGATTTTCCTGCCTAAGCCTCCTTGAGTAGCTGGGATTACAGGCGCTTGCCATCATGCCAGGCTAATTATTGTATTTTTAGTACAGACGGGGTTTTTCCATGCTGTCCAGGCTGTTCTTGAACTTCTGACCCAGGTGATCTGCCTGCTTCCATCTCCCAAAGTGCTGGGATTACAGGTGTGAGCCACCGTGCCTGGCTTGAATATGAATTTATAATACCCTATGGTGCAATACAAGAAAGATGCACGCAAAGCACTGATATGAGGAAGTACTTACCCTGTAGCAGCTATTCACTCTGCAAGTATAAGACGAACTCTAAGCTGGGGCAAGATGGCACAGAGACAAGCATATACTAACCAGGGGTTTAATATAAATACAACCAGCACAGAAAAACCCAAAACTACAAAAACCAAAACCAGAATGTCATGTGGTGGAGGTAAAGGACAGAATTTCTGACCCTTTGGCTCAGCTGCCCCTACCCCCCAAATAAAAACCAACAAAGAGGACAAATCAGGACAATAAAGATTCATGCTAAACTGTGGGAGAGGGAAAAGGAATGATAGGGTGGGTGTGGGACAAGGAATGGCCATGTTAGATCACAGGGTCAGTTTGGACCCTGGGCTGAGAGGAGAAAGGCAAGGTCCCTCACCATAACTTAGGCCAAACCTAAGCTGTCAAGGAGGCTAAAGGGCCTGGGCCCATGTCCCTCCCCACCTTTGGGGTCAGATAGTGGCCACCCAGGCCTGCTGGGTTGGGGCCTGACACAGGCTCTGCCTGCCCATTCAGGCTGCCTCTAGAGAGAGAATGGAGTCACTGTCTAACCATGGTACCTGCCTCAGCCACAGCAGACCACAGGAGGCTGGCCCCGGACTCACTGAGTGCCTGCAGCAGCTGTGCAGACACAGCATCCTTGGCCACCTCATGCCCATCCTGCCCATCTAGGGTCAGCACAACCCAGATTAGGCCGCTGAAGGGTACTGGATGCCCAGGGATCACGACCTGGTACCAGAAGCGGTGCCAGCCAGCAGGCCCGGTGCCCAAACACTTGGTGAGGAACACAGGGCTCCCCAGCTTCATTCGTTGGCACAGCAACTGCAGGGCTGCCCGAGCCCCTTGGGACCCTAACTTGTCCCTTGCCAAGGCCAACTGGCTGCACTCTGGCTGTGGGGACCGCAAGGAGGGACCCACAAGCTGCTGGCGGAGTCGCTGCTTCAGATCTGGCTTGAGCCACTCCACAGCCACCGGCTCTCCACAGAGGTGTGATTGCCCTGCAGGAAAAAAAGCCAAGGGCAGATCTAAACACTGGGTCCCAGCCTCCAGGCTGTAAGCCCTTTGGAGCAGCAAAGCAGGCCTGTAATTTGTGGCCTTCCCATTTCCTGGTAGTGTAACCAAGGGTAAGAAAAGAAGCCTTCAGGCTCCATTACTTGCAAAGGGAGTGTAACACAACTGCTACATTAGCAGTTTCCTTGGAGGAGTACTGATTAATGCAGGATTTGTCTGCCTCATAACCATCATAATGGCTAATCTTTACTGTGAAAACTTGCTATAAGTCAGTGTGCTAAGTACCATACACCCATTAAGTTATTTAATTCTCACAACAAGTCTGAGAAAATAGGTTCTATAGTAGTAAAAGGCTCAGTTGGATTCCCTTGAGCAAATCAATTTAAGAGTTTCCTCATAGCTGGAGGGTCGTGTGCCTATTTTGCGGGGTGGGGGTGGGGGAATGTTGAGGATTAAGTCAGGAGATAATGCTCGGGAAGTGTTACAAACTTAGGTAAGTGGCGGTGGTAGCACCATTTTAAGTTTTAAAAACCTGAGATCAAATAGGAAAAGGTTGCAAATTCTGGCATGCTTGACTCTTAACTAGTCTTGTAACTTTAACAGCCATGCTCAGTATAAAGTGCCTGGCAGAACCGGTTTGGCCCCAACCAGCCTCCCCCCACCAGCAGCCTACCTTCCACCAGGGCTTTTTTGGCCATGGCAGCGGCCCGGTGCGAGCTGAATTTGAGCAGAGCGATCTGCCCGGGCGCCGGTCCAGGGCTGGGCAACAGCCGCGCCTCCTGGAGGCCGGGACCCAGCGGCTGCAGCGCGAGTAACAGCGCGCGGCGGGTCAGATTCGGCGGCAGGCCGTCCACGCTCAACTCACACTTCTCGGTGCTGCGGCACACGAGCAGCGTGCAGGACGGCCGCAGCGGGTGGTTGTGCAGCGTGGCGATGGCGGCCTGAGCGCCGCGCCGCGAGCTGTAGCGGGCATAAGCGAAGCCGCGGTTCAGGCCGCTGAAGGTCATCATCAGGCGAAACTCGTAGAGGCGGCCCACGCGCTGGAACAGCGGGATAAGCTGGTGCTCGTAAACGTCCTGGGGCAGCCGCCCGATGAATACCTCTGATCCGGCTGGCGGCGGGCTCCCCACCCAGCCTGTGGGAAGGGGGCATGCGAGGCCACCATCATGAGACGCTTTCGAATTCTGAGCCCACGGACCCAGCGCGCGGGAGTGGGAGGCGATGTGAACAAAGGTCTGTGAAATGGGTTTACACCCGTACACTGGGTGGTTGGCATAATTACGTGACTGGGCTAAGGAGGGGGCCGGCACAGAGTAGGTACACCTTGAGACTAGCCCCCTCCCTAGACGGGGCGGGTGGACGTGGAGGCACAGTTCCTCCTTTGCTGGGGCATAAATCCGGGTAGTTCGCAGTTTCTGACAGTGAAGGCTCGGCGCAACCCCTCCCCCAAAGGGGGCTGGTCGGCACAGTAGAGGCTGGCCGGCTGGGACTATCGTACCTGGGGGTGGCCCGCCATACTTCCTCTGCCCGTTCACCTGCACCAGGCGGATGCCTGTCTCCCTGACCCACGCCTCCAGCGCCGCCTTGTTTTCTGGATTCACCCTCTCACACCACAGCTGAGAAGGAAAGGCAGGTTGGAATGGCGGATCGCCAAGCCCGCCCCCCACCTCTCCTGTGATACTGGGGTCCCTGAAGCCGACCCCCTCTCTGGCGGGGTTCACCGGCCCCCAAGTCGCCACCCGCTTACCTCACAATCCCGCTTGGACTGCATGGCTCTCCCGCAAGTCCCCTTGTACACTCTTTAAAACTTCCTCCCCACCGGCCTCTGGAAGCTTCCCTACCCCTCCACCCCACAAGCTCTCATTGGCTCTGGGCGCCACCCCGCCCCCCAAGGGGGTGGAGGTATTCACTGCACGTGCGCCGCGGAGCTTCGCTCAGACCCTCAGGTGAAAGCTGCAAACACAAGCCGGCAAATACGTCTGGGGGCTGCCTCCAGAGGAGGAGCTCCCAAGCGGGAGTCGCAGGGTAGACGCTGGAGGCAAGAACCTCAGGGTCACACGTTTACCGTCTTTCTCCCTTTTCCACCCCTACTGTGGTCTGCCCCGAAAGGCAGAGCTAGGCATCAGTGACACAAGCAGGCTCCATGGTTGAGGCATGAGGCATTTTATTGGACCTTCAGGGACTGGTTGCAGGGAGGCGTCTGCCTCATCTGGTGTGGGGCTCTGCAGATGAGACCATCTCAGGCCGAGTTCTTGTAGCCCAGGAACACAAGACTGGATTAAGCTCCCAGGGCTTTGTATGAAAAAGGTGTAGACCTGGCCATTTTTGCCAGTGATCAATAAAATAACCATCAAAAAAATTAAAAGTCTTTGTTCTGACCACTCTTCAGGTCTTGCTGAAATGGAAAAGTGCAAAGCAGCTGAAGTACATATGCAGTTTGTCTTAGCCTCAAATAGTGCCAGTCCCACTTCCTTTCCTCTGATAGTTTGCTTAGTTCAGCAGATGCAGAGGGGCTGGCCTGTTCTCCTTTTGATTTCCTCCACAAGGTCTTCTCTTCGGATGTCCACCTAGCCAGGATGGGAAAAGAAGGTGGTATAAGCAATTTCCATTCCCCTGCTCCCTGAGTACCAACAGTTTCCTCTAACCCTCTAGGCATCAGGGTTGTCTCAGCTGGGAGCAGGAACCTAATTAACCTCAGGCTAGAGTGTACCTTCTGGGGGTGCCAAGAAAACATAGGGTGTATGCACGGATGGAGATCTCCCCCTACTAAGACCACAGTAACAGGTTAAACTCTCAAGTCCTTTATGAGTTAGTATTAATATGAATGCCAGGCTTTTGCTCAGGTCTCGAATGGGCATGGGCCTGCCAAAATAGCATACATTCCATGTCTCTTAGCCTTCCTGTCTGCCTTCCTCACCTCTTCCCTGCTAGTCACTGAACGGAGCTTGATGACCCCATCCTTGAGTTCCTGCTCGCCGATGATAGCCACCAGTGGGATGCCTGCCTCCTCACAGTACTGTAACTGGTTCAGTAGTTTTGGGTTCTTCCTGTACAGCAGCTCAGCCTGCAGGGAACAAGAGCAGAAGAGGAAGACTGGCTTCTGCTGTCCTCAGGGACACCCTCCTGGGTGTCCAAGCTGGCACCCTGTTCTTAGCTCCACCTCAAGAAGTTATGCCAGGATCCATTATGGGTGCACTTTATTCAGTTTGTACCCAGCACACCCAAGTTTGCTGCCACCCTGGGGCTTGCCTCCCATACCTTGATCCCAGCATCCCACAGTTCTGAGACAAGCTTTAGTCTCTCTTCTAGCAGCTTCTTCTGTGCAGATGCCACAAGCACCTGTGTCTCCGTGGTCCGTACCTTCTCCTCCAAAGCCTGGGGAAGGGGCAGATAAGAGTCAGAGCTGGGCTAACCCCTTCAAGGAGCAAACAAAGCAAGCTCTAGTCAGGATTTTGAGACCAGGCCCAACTCAGCTGTATCAGCACAGGGGCCTTGTCTTCTAATCTAGCATTTGGGCATAAGGTAGCTTTTAGAAGATAATGAGGACTAAACTGACTGACTTGCACGTGGACGTATCAGAATAAATAACCTAGGGCAAGGGTAAAGGTAACTTCTTTCTTTTTTTTTTTTTTTGAGACGAAGTCTTGCTCTGTCACCATGCTGGAGTGCAGTGGTGCGATCTTGGCTCACTGCAACCTCAGCCTCCTGGATTCAAGCGATTCTCCTGCCTCAGCCTCCCGAGTAGCTGGGACTACAAGTGCTCGCCATCATGCCCAGCTAAGTACTGTATTTTCAGTAGAGATGGGGTTTCACCAGATTGGCCAGAGAAGTATCGATCTCTTGACCTTGTGATCCACCTACCTCAGCCTCCCAAAGTGCTGGGATTGCAGGTGTCAGTCAGCCACAGCACCCAGCCCCATGCCCCCGCAACGCTTTTTTTTTTTTTTTTTTTTTTTTCCTTTTGAGACAGGGTCTCTGTCACCCAGGCTGAAGTACGGTGGCATGATCACTGCAGCTCCAACCTCCCGAGCTCAAGTGATCCTCCCACGTCGGCCTCCCAAATACAGGCACACACCACCATGCTCAGCTAATTAAAAAAAAAAAAATTTTTTTTTTTTCTTTTTTTAATCTATAGAGACAGGGTCTCCATGTTGCCCAGCTGGTCCATGCAGTACCTTAAGGGTCCACCAAAGCATTCACACAGAATTACTACTATGAGCCTACCCCAGGTAATTAGATCACCCTGGGCAGTTCTAGTCCCTACTTACTATCTACCCATTTATGACACCATGCCTCTCACACTTCAGTTACAGGACATAGGTGGGGGTGTGTATGGGTGAGGGGAAAGGAGAATGCTGCTGCTGCTGCTGCTGCCCCTTGTCTTTTTCGGGACAACTATTTTCATAGTTTAAACAACATAAGATGCCTACTGGAAGAATGATCTCAACTGGGAAACAGGTAGTTTCCATCCTTTAGAAAAGGCAAAGGGCTGTGGGGAGGTTGCCAGAGCATTTCCCAGAGGATGAAATGCAACCAGCCACTTAAGATCAGCAGCAACCAAGTGGGGCTTGGGGCCACAAGAGGCTTCCTTGGTGTTATTCTAGGTGCTAGACAGTCAAGGTAGCCATCTGAGGGACACCAGGGCCTCAGGCACATGCTTCCCATTTAGAGACAATATTATAGTGTAGTTAGTGGCAAGACTTTGGAGTCAGACTGCCTGGATTCAAATTCTGACTATCACTTACAAGTTTCAGGCCTTAAGCAAATTGTTTGATCTATAATGCTTCAGTTTTCTCATCTGGAAAATGCAATTAATAAAATTAGCTACTTGCAGAGGGCTGTGGTAAGAACTATATTTTGATAATGCATGAAAAGCACCAAGCACAGTGCCTGGCATGAGGCAGTAAAATGTTAAGTATTCAGTATTATGAGGACGATCTAGGTCGTGGATACACCAGCCCAAGTTTGTGACAGCCCTGAAGGAAGTAGGGACCTAGGGCAGAGGATTTATTGGAGAAATATTGTGGATTAAAGATCGATAAAACTGGCCTATAATGGGGTGGGAATCTGTAAAAAAGAGCAATAATCTTTTCTCCATTTCTGTGAGAGACTCTCTGCCCAAAGCAGCACTACTTGCTCCCTTGGAGATCAGATAGCTTGGGTACCACCACTGCTCAGACTGTCTTCTACCCACTCCCAAGGACCTACCTCCAGTCTCTGTTCCACGATGGAGAAAATCCGCTCCACTCCAATGCTGAGTCCCACACATGGCACCTTGCGTCCTTTGGGGTCAAACATGCCCACTAGCCCATCATAGCGCCCTCCAGCAGCCACACTGCCCACACCCAGGGGCTCTTCCCCTGCCTGGGCTGGGGACTGTAGCAGCACTGCCTCATAGATCACCCCAGTGTAGTAATCCAGCCCTCGAGCAAGGCTCAGGTCAAAGGAGATCTGTGGAGATAAGAACATGGTCAGTGCCAGATTAAGATCAGGGACCTGAAGTCCCAGAGCTCAGAAGGGATCCCATCTCCAACTTGACTCACTTTGTCATCAATGCCAAATAGGGTCAGGTACTCAAAGAGCAGCTTCAGGTCTCTCAGGCCCTCCAAGGCCTGCTTGTTTTGGGATAGTTTAGGATCCTGGAGCAGCTGTTCCACCAGGGATACGCCACCTGGGGAGAGAGACTTGTGAGTGAAGCTGACAAGAAAACAAAAAAGGTAAGTGGGGGGGTGTTGACTTTCTTGCCTGAACTTTAGTTGCCTGTGCATGTGTGTGTACCTACATACACATACACACACATGCTTGCTCCCCTACATACACAGAAGAGTTTCAACTTTAGGACTGAGGGCAGTGGGATGGCTGCTGGGGAAGCTTGGTTCTGTTCCTCACCATGCTGCTGGACATAGTCCCCAATGCGGTCAGCCACCTCGGGTGCGAGGCCCTTCTCTCCTACCATCTCATTCTTCACTTCTTCCCAGGACATCTAGGCAGATAGACATCAGTCAGAGACCCCTGGGCAGCTTCTGCACCATATAGCAAGTACGTACTGTCCTCAGGAAACAGTCTTGGAGCAGTAGCTGCCCATCAGCCTACATCTTGGGGCTAACGTTCCTCTGGTGGGTATAGAGTCATGCACCTCTCTATCTTGTTTTCCGTTTCCCAAGGCAGGGTGGGATCTGAAAAAAGAAGTCAAGTACTTGGGTTGTTACCTTGTCCAACTTATCTACTGAGGAGCAGATGGTACGGAACTTGCTGTCAGGAACACCACAGATGGCAAACATCCCATCTAGGATGCGCCGATCATTTACCTGCAGGGAACCAACACATAGTGAGGGGGGAATCTCTTTTCTTACATGCCTGGCAATAGTCATGGTCACTTGGGCTACTGGTCCCTCTGCACAAGGATCTTTTCTTGTGAGAGGCCAGGCCCAAATTTGCCCTCCCATCCTTGTCATCTCTGACCTTGACCAGGAAGTCGCCTATCTGAAGTGAACTCAGTATCTCGCACATGATCTTCAGGCACTCTGCATCAGGGATCATGGGATCAAAGTTTCCAGCAATGTCAAAATCCTACAGGGAGAGGAGTAGCCAGCAGTCTTCAGGGATTCACCTTTCTGAAGTGGGGGACTGTGGGAGCTCTGCTTTCTAGGAAGGCCTGGTTGTACTCAAGCATAGACTTTCTTCATTGTCTGATCATCAGCCCAGAGGTAAACCCCAGCATCCTTGGGCTTTTGACTAGTTTTGGTTTCTTTTCCATCTACTGGGTTATTCCTTCATTTTCTACTTCACCATCTTCTTCTTAACTCCTCCTACTGGATGGGGTAATTATATGACTTTATTGCTTAGCCATTTTCCCTATTCATCCAGAAGCCCTGGCATCAGTCTGAATGATTTGATATATCAAAGCTAATTTCCTTATCTTCTGCTGTGATCCTATCACTGTGGTTTAAAATAAAGAGGACTGAACCAAGGGTTCTAGTCCTGACTTTGCCTTTCTTATCCCTCTGATCTCTTCATCTACTGGGTATCAAGTTTACTCATATGTAAAATGGAGAGACTTTATTCTCCTCCCCTCCCCCCCCCCACAGGGACATTGTGAAATCTGTATGAAAACACCGCAGAAATCTAAGAGCATTGTCTGGTCATCCAGTTTGCTCAGGACACCAGGAGTACTCAAGAGATTCTGCTGGCTTGAGAGAGCCCCAAGTAACCCATCCCCGCTACGGTTTCCCAACACTCACACACTGGTAGAATTCCCGGTATCGGCCGCGGGTCATGGCTGGGTTATCCCGCCGATATACCTTTGCTATGTGGTAGCGTTTAATGTTGTTCAGTTTATTCATTGCCAAATACCGAGCAAAAGGAACCTGATGACAAAGTGTTAAGGAGAAAGCCCCTCCTATCAATGTCTGGAAGTTGATTATCATCACCAACAGAAGCTGAGGTTTAACTCCTCCCTGTATGGGTAAAACTGCCACCCATAAGATTAACAGCACTAATGAACATCAGAAAGAATCAACTGTGCTACCACATGGGGCAGCTGAAGGCTCAAAAAGGAATAAGGCACGTTTCTCTTTGGTAGTGTTGAGTGGACTTTTTTGAGCAGGGCAAGGGGCTGGGCAGGTTGGCCACAGACCAGATAAAGGCCCCCATATGGGATTTCTAAGCAGATGATTCTCTGCGTAGCTTGGAGACAAAGGAAATGTGTTGCTGGTCCATTAAGGAGAATTTTTTCCACTGGCCAGGGCAGGGCAGAGGTATTCTGGAGCCAGGGGATAACTGCAGAGTTGGAACTGGGCCTTGACATCAAGCTGATGTCTCACTCAGGATTCAGAAGATTTCTAAGGGTGTGTATGCTCTGTTTAGCCAAAGTCCCACTCCTGGTTTAGAGAAATAATTCCCCTAATCGCCAAAGACTTTGTATTTGATCCTACCTATGTCTGTCTATTCTTAAGCCTGAGCCCAGTGAGTGCCAATCCATCCAAAGTCTCAAGAGCCCAAGTTTGGAAAGATACAGTGAGGTCATAGCGAAGGGACAGCAGCTCTCCACCCTGGTCTTTCAGGTCATAGATAAGCTTGGAGTCTTCCCCATACTTTCCCGTCAGTGTTTCCTGGAGAAAACACAAGTAAATGTGGTCATAATAATAAATATAACAATTTAAAAGTTCTGAAAATAAAAATGACTGATTCCAACTTGTCTATATTTCCCTCTGCTTTTTATCCCAAATCTTAAGTCTTTGATGTAGTTGTCATTAAAAGGAAACACTAATTTTGTTTTTTTTTCTATTTTGATTTTGTAACAGGGCTGAATTTTTTGTATTTTTTTTTTACATTTTTGTCTCTTAAAAAACTTTCTTTCTTCAGACTCAACTTCTCAGCATGAAGTTTTTTTTTTTTTTTTTTTTTTTTTTTGAGACGGAGTTTCACTCATGTTACCCAGGCTGGAGTGCAATGGTGCGATCTCGGCTCACCGCAACCTCCGCCTCCTGGGTTCAGACAATTCTCCTGCCTCAGCTGGAGACTGGTCTGTATCCACAACAGGAGAGGACCCTTTGGGCCCTTACTCTATTGCTGTCTTCTTTGTTATTCAAATGCCCACTCATCTACCATGTAGTTTCTTCTTGCCCATTCCTCACCTTTAGTTCAAATACAGGTGTGTCAATGACTTCTGCACCATGGCGCTTGAAGCAACGGATGATTACATCAAACACCTTCTCACGAACTGCCATCTGCCGGGGACTGTAGTCTCTTGTGCCCTTGGAGTTGAAATCAGTAAGAGAACCAGAAATGAGGTTTGAAAACCAAGAACAATATATTTTGGAAATATAAAAGGATGACCTCAATAATGAAAAAGCAAATCTTGCTCTAAACAGATTTTCCTACAGTCCACTGAATTTTAAAACAAGTACAAATAATTCCCTATTAATTCCCATACCCATTTGCTATCTGCCTTCCAAACTGTATTCCCTTTTAAGCTTGAGTCTATTTTCTAAAATTCTTAGAACCTTTTTCTTTAAGCCATTTTTCTAAAAACTCTGGGATAACAGAACATTTCCTGGCCTAGTAACAAACACCCACCTGAGACTGGGCACAGTGGCTCACGCCTGTAATCCCAGCACTTTGGGAGGCCAAGGCGGATGGATTGCCTGAAGTCAGGGGTTTGAGACCAGCCTGGCCCACATGGTGAAACCCCATCTCTACTAAAAATATAGAAGTTACTCGGGTGTGGTAGCACACCCCTTGTAGTCTCAGTTATTCGGGAGGCTGATGCATAAGAATCCTTGAACCTGGGAGGCAGAGGTTGCAATGAGCTTAGATTATGCCACTGCACTCCAGCCCAGGCGACAAACAAAAGGTGCCTGGAATCCCAGCTACTCAGGAGGCTAAAGGCAGGGAGAATCATTGAACCTAGGAGGCAGAGGTTGCAGTGAGTCGAGATGCAGTTGTTGCACTTTCATAGTTAAAACTGTTTGTTCTTGGCCGGGCGCGGTGGCTCAAGCCTGTAATCCCAGCAATTTGGGAGGCCGAGGCGGGTGGATCACGAGGTCAAGAGATTGAGACCATCCTGGTCAACATGGTGAAACCCCGTCTCTACTACAAATACAAAAATTCAGCTGGGCATGGTGGCGTGTGCCTGTAATCCCAGCTACTCAGGAGGCTGAGGCAGGAGAATTGCCTGAACCCAGGAGGCGGAGGTTGCGGTGAGCTGAGATCGCGCCATTGCACTCCAGCCTGGGTAACATGAGCGAAACTCCGTCTCAAAACAAACAAACAAACAAACAAAAAACCAAAAAACTGTTTGTTCTCTAGTTTGTTTCTGGTAACAAGCCTATGACTTGGCTAGGCAGATAAATTTTATAGATGAAGTACAGGGTGTTGAGAAATAAAGTCATTACTTAAGGTTATTCAGCATGTTTGTGGCAGTCAGGACTAGAACTGTGTTCTCCTTCCAGGTCAGAGCTTCCAATCTGGGCTTTTATACCCTACTCCAAAGTCTTTGGTTTCAAGACCTCTTTACACTATTCTTACTATTTATTAAAGACCTCAAAGTGTGCCGGGCGCGGTGGCTCAAGCCTGTAATCCCAGCACTTTGGGAGGCCGAGGCGGGTGGATCACGAGGTCAAGAGATCGAGACCATCCTGGTCAACATGGTGAAACCCCGTNGCTTGAACCCAGGAGGTATAGGTTGCAGTGAACCAAGGTCACGCCACAGCACTCTAGCCTAGGCAACAATAGCAAAACTCCACCTCAAAAAATAAATTAAATTTTTAATTTTTATTTTAATTTAAAAGAAAATTTTTTTTGAGACAGAGTCTTGCTCTGTTGCCAGGTGCCAGGCTGGAGTGCAGTGGCGTGATCTCGGCTCACTGCAATCTCCGCCTCCCGGGTTCAAGCAATTCTCCTGCCTCAGACTCCCAACTAGCTGGGACCACAGGTGCGTGCCACCATGCCCAGCTAATTTTTGTAATTTTTAGTAGAGATGGGGTTTCACCGTGGTCTCCATCTCTTGACCTTGTGATCCGCCCACCTTGGCCTCCCAAAGTGCTAGGATTACAGGCATAAGCCACCACGCCCGGCAAAAATTTTTTCAAACGTCACACTTCGATGGTGAGAGGCCACCATTCCACCAATTCTGTCTTTTGTCCTTTAGAAAACCCAAGTAACTATGCAGATTCATTCCTGGAACCTTGTTAGCTAACCTTAATTAACATCTCAAAATCAATAAGCTACAGACTAGACTCTAGGGAAATAGGTGGCCAGAAAAGGGGAAAAGGTCAGGAAAAGGACTGACAGGGGTTTTACTTAAGGTTGGCCCTAGCATTATCACTTAATAGTATTCACTGTATTTGCCCCTGAAGCACACTAACCAAGAAAAAGTTTCTATTTGAAGAAATTAAGGTGATCTCAAACTGCCTCGCAGAGTAATTTTAAAAACATTATCGGCCTCTTCCACATCTAACGGATGCATACACAATAAATTAAAATGCATACACAGTCATTTTTAAATAATTTGTCTTACTTAAATAATTTTCCTGTGAAAAATTATTCACATTGAAGGAGAGTCAAAACAGAAAAACAATGAAACTCACCTGTCCAATAACTTTGAGTTTAATATATTCACCTTCCTTCTTATCCCCCAAGTCCTCAGTTGAAGGTTTTGCCTCCTGAAAGAAAATCAAATTTCAAGATAAAAGTTCTTACATATTATTTTAATTACTCACTTATTGAGTATCCATTACTTTCATTCAGGGTGCAAAATCTGCACCTGAGAATACAAAGAGCATTTCTTTTCCATGCCAGTCAATTAAGAAAAAAAAGATTCTAAGTCAATTACTGTCCCAAACACCATTCACTAGAAATCAAGAAAGGGGTCTCTTTTCTTATATCCCATAGTAATGGTCTAAAACTTTACCACGAATCAAAATCACCTGAAGGACGTGTTACAAACTGCTGGGCCCAAGCCCCAGATTCTTATTCAGCACATCTGCAGTAGGGATGAGAATCAGTTTCTAACAAATTATCAGATGGTACTGATGCTGCTGGCCAAAGGAACAACAACTTGGAAACAACTGCCCTACAGCCAACTCTTGCCAGCACAGAGGGAGTTCATCCTCCATGATTTTTAGACAAAGATTCTGAATCCAAGATTATCTTCTCACAGCCTATCATGAGGAGTTTAATCCAACTACAAAACTGTGCTAAGAAATTTAAATTAATCATATTAACATAAGCAAGGCTATTTAGAAAGGAAAATCAAATAGGAAAGTATTGGCCTAATGTACTCTGGAATCAAAATAAATCAGTTTTATATAATCAATTATTTTAGACTATCCGAAGCATAATGCTTAAATTTAAAAGCTAAGGCCTGACTGAAAAAAATTAAAGGAACTGTATTACTGTATTAGAATTAGAACTGCCAAAATTTAAAAATATTTGTTCATTTAACAAATAATGTGTCTAACCGGGCGCAGTGGCTCACGCCTGTAATCCTAGCACTTTGGGAGGCTGAGGTGGGTGGATCACCTGAGGTCAGGAGTTCAAAACCAGCCTGGCCATCATGGTGAAACCCCATCTTTAAACAAACAAACAAAAAACAAATGTGTCAATTACATGTTAACACAAATAACATTTTAGAAAAAGGTAACTGTTGGCTGGGAATGGTGGCTCACACCTGTAATCCTAGCACTTTGGGAGGCCGAGGTGGATGGATCACCTGAGGTCAGGAGTTCAAGATCAGCCTGGCCAACATGGCAAAACCCTGTCTACTAAAAATACAAAAATTAGCCAGGTGTGGTGGTATGTGCCTGTAATCCCAGCCACTTGGGAGGCTAAGGCAGGAGAATCGCTTGAACCTGGGAGGCGGAGGTTGCAGTGAGCTGAGATCATACCATGCACTCCAGCCTAAGCAAAAGAGGGAAACTCTGTCTCAAAAAATAAATAAATAAATAAAATAAAGAAAAAGGTAACTGTTTTCCAAACAATTTAGTGAGAAGAGTGGAACTGATTTACATTTTTGCAAATCTTTAATGTCTGGCTGAATAGAAGACAGCAGGATTCTCATATGTGATTTTTGCATTTAATCTATCGTGATGTTATGGTGGTTGAAGTATATAAGGAAAACCTAATCTTACACAAATATGTAGTTGTAAAAGGAAGAGTTTTTTTTTTTTTTTTTTTTTTGAGATGGAGTCTTGCTCTGTCGCCAAGCTGGAGTGCAGAGGCATGATCTCGGCTCACTGCAACCTCCGCTGCCTGTGTTCAAGTGATTCCCCTGCCTCAGCCTCCTGAGTAGCTGGGACTACAGGTGCTCACCACCATGCCCAGCTAATTTTTTGTATTTTAGTAGAGACAGGGTTTCACTATGTTGGCTAAGATGGTCTCGATCTCCAGACCTTGTGATCCGCCCACCTTGGCCTCCCAAAGTGCTGGGATTACAGGTGTGAACCACTGCGCCAGCCCACGTTTTCTAAAATTCTAACTTTCACCTGAATACTTGAATTTTATCACTGCCAACAAATACTGTCAGATGTTTTCCTTGCGGTGACAAGGCTCACTTTGTTCATTGTTGTAAAAATGTCTGCCAAATATTCAAGTTTTAAAAACCATTTGTCTTTCAGTTGTTAATTCAAATAAGAAAAGATATTCTATGAAAAAGGTAGCTAGATCAGCTTGCAATTTGAACAATGGCATAAGCATTTTCCCTACCTTGGAGTGCGGAAGTGCTTTATATGTATTTCTCATATTGTCACAGCAAATATTTAAAAAGAGGGTACTCAAGGGTCAAGATTCAACAAAATTAATAAATTTTCAGCCAGGCATGGTGGCTCATGCCTGTAATCCTAGCACTTTGGGAGGCTGAGGTGGGTGGATTGCCTGAGCTCAGGAGTTCGAGACCAGCCTGGGCAACATGGTGAAACATGTTGTATGTTTCTTATATGTTTTTTGTATTTTTGTAAAAGTACAAAAAAATTAGCTGGGCATGGTGGTACCCGCCTGTAATCCCACATACTGGGGAGGCTGAGGCACAATAATTGCTTGAACCCAGGAAGTGGAGGCTTCAGTGAGTAGGGATCATGCCACTGTACTCCAGCCTGGGCAACAGTGAGATTCTATCTCCAATAAAAACCCCCAAAACAAACAAATGAACAAAGTTTTACTATTTTATCAATGACATTCTTAAGTAAAACTGAATTTTATTTATTTATTTACTCACTTTGAGTGCATGGCAGTGAAGAACATACTGGCTATTAGTACAGTTTAGTGTCGCTGTCTTAATTTACGCTAAGA